CGGCTGGAGAAAGGGAGAGGGAGAGCAGGGACACTGGAGCCTTTCACTGCACCCAGGATTACGTTCCATTAACCCCCAAAAGGCAACTCAATTCCGTTTTCTCTTTCGTCCTTTAAATTCAAGTTCTATTAGCAAAAGCTGCTGCCCGCAGCATGAGTCCTGATTTAGAGGGTAGGAAGAGGGCTCTTTTTGTGCAGATGAAGGAAAAATACAAGAATAGGCAGCCCCGCTGACGTTGCTGGCTGGGCAGCAGAACAAAGGTCCGACCGGGCTGGTGTGTAGCCTGGCCAAAGATAACGTGGGGAGGACAGCACGGGGAAAGAAAGGCCTTGTGCAGGGCCCCAAACTCGGTCACTCTGCAATGCGAGCCGCGTCTGTGACCCATTTTAACTGCAGGTTGTTGTGTGTGCCAGGGTCGAATCCGGGCAGAGCTGGTGGCTGTTTTTGGAATTGGAGTCAAGCTGGGTGTGTCTGGTACGAGGCTTCTCTCGGTGTGTGGTTTCCCCTGCAAGTAGTTTGATTCTGGTTATTCGTTTTCTGGATTGTAGAAGAGACTGAGCCTCGCCTGCTCAAGTTGGAACATAAAACCCCAGTCAGACGTGGGGCAAGTGCAATCATCCTTTTAAATGTCGCCATGCGCGCTGTGGGAGCTTCTGAATATTTATGTCGGCTTCACACAGGGCACCTGTTTCCAAAGTGGGCAGAAACTTAAGCTCCTGGACCTGTGACCGCAAATGACACTGGGCGTGGGGATCGGCAATGTATAATTTCAAAGGTTAAACAAGAGCCAACGTGTGATATAAAGGTTTAGCTTCATAACTTTTGTTGTGGTGCTGACTTTTCATTCTGTTTATTTTTTAAATAGTCTCCTGCAGAGAAAATGCAAGTCCCGGTTTTAAAAAGCTATCATTTATGACTGCGTCTTTCCACTCCCTTCAAACCTGTAAAACACTTCTTAAATCTGAAGAGTGTGTTCCTGCAAAATAACCTAGATTAAGGGGAGCCTTAATTTTGTTGGTGTTGAAAAAGAGGCCACTAAAGGGATACACTGTTTGGGGGGCAGCATCAGATGAGAGCACTCACGTAACAGAAGCCCATTTTCATGTTTGTGTAATTGTAATTTTATAAGCAGCATAAAAATGCAATAAAATTGTACTGCCACTAGGTTTTCATTCATTTTAAAACCTCTAAGAAGTCAGATGGCTCCTGCATTGCCCGTGTTTCTGGAATGTTGCTTAACAAAATTAATACTAAAAGTTCACTATTTCCAACTGTCATAAAGCAAAGTTCTTGGCATGTTGCTGTCACCAACTTCGCTTATCAGGAGAGATCTACTGGCAAAGAATTTACAATTTCACTCTTAGACATTCTATACATTTGCCTAACCTTCATGTACCTACATTAAATCCTTCTGAAAAGAAAAAACTGAAAACTAGGTTAAAATTTCCTTTAAAATCCTTTGAAAATGCCCTAGCTGGTTTGGCTCAGTGGATAGAACGTTGACCTTCTGACTCAAGGGTCCCGGGTTTGATTCCAGTCAAGGGCACATGCCTGGGTTGTGGGCTCGATCCCCAATATGGGGCGTGCAGGAGGCAGCCGACCAATGATTCTCCTTCATCATTGATGTTTCTATCTCTCTCTCCCTCTCCCTTCCTCTCTGAAATCAATAAAAAAATTATTCATTTAAAATATCCTTTGAAAATGAATCCTAACACATATCAAAGATCACATTTTTTTTCAAATTGGAACCATTGGCTTTAATTATTTCCTAATATAAAATTTTTTAAAAGGTTTAATTAACAATCAGAATTCTACAGCTCCTCTTAAATATTAATCCTGCCAGGTTTCTTAGAAGAAGGTTGGTCAGTAATCCATTTTTATTGAACTTGATTTCAATATTGACAAAATGATTAATAGAAGTTGTTTATAAATCACTTTAATCTTCTTGGAATAAAAGGAACACGTGAATTTTTTAAAAAAGTAAACATGGCCATATACCTCATAGCATCATCTATACAGCCACAAATGTCCCAAACTTTCTGAAATAATCTCGATTCAAGTAATTTTATTTTTTCCACTGATAGCAATTGGTAAAATGTATAGCTAAATGAGATTTAAATTTTATGAACTTTCTTTCTCACAAAACCAAATTCAGCAAAAACTCTCAGTGAGACCATGTTCTATATTTGAGTTTGGACAATGTTGTCACTGTGACCATGAACCGTTACTGAGAACTACATTATCAGCGCTGATGGAATCTTATTCATTTCTGCCTGTTTCTCTGAGAGAATGCCAAGCGAAGAGGGTAGGCAACATCTCCTGGGCAATGGATGGCACACTGACTTTGGACAGGATTCCTCCAGGTCCTGGGGTCAATTGAAGCAATGGGCAGAGGCGGCCCTCAGGCCTCAGGACCTGGGCACCAGGCCCCGCCCAGGCTCCAGGCGAACAAGTGAGCTCCTACATCCGTGTCTGTCTGCTTGTAAAATGGGCCAGGTAATACTTTCCTCCTCCTCGGATTTTTGCAGGATCGCATGCAATGTCTGTGCAACTGGCCAGGGAACCACCAAGGGGCTGTCGGTTGTGAACCACACTGGGAGCCAGGCATCCTGGGCCTGAGGACCTGAGAAACCTGCACAGGTGAGCAGGACTGAGAAGCCACAGCCAGAGAAGAGCCTGAGCCTCAGCAGCTTCCTCGGCTGCAGGAGAGCTGGAGATGGTGATGTGGGCCGAGGCACCCAAGGACCATTAGCTGGAGGGCCTGCTGCCTCTGCCCAGATCGAGTATCTGGAGTGAGCTATGTGGATTGATATCAGAGAGGAGGGGAGGAGAGAGAGAGATAGAAACATCAATGATGACAGAGAATGGGATCGAGCCTGCAACCTGGGTGGGATCGAACTGTGACCTCTTGGTTCACAGGTTGACACTCAACCACTGAGCCACACCAGCCAGGCAGCTGTGTGGAAGATAGCCATTGGCTCTGTTGGGGGAGAGGTTCTGTGGGATCCCAAAAAACATCACCCAAGGCTATGAACGGTAAAGTACTAAGATGTCCTCTCCTCTTCTTCTTTCGTAAATTCACATTACTGAATAAAAAGTACATAATAACATTCATTCTCTGTTTCCATCCACTCTTTCCCCAGTTCTCACCCCTGTCTTTAGAAAACTTTCTGTTGATTGTGAAATGTTCCTAGTTATAATCCCCAGCTCTAGTCATACAGATGAAAGGAAGTCTTGTGATCAGACCCAGATTTGCTATGTCACCTGTGTACACCTGTATACAATTAAAACCTGCTCTTGTTGAACCGACAGTAGATCTGTAGAACATGGAGTATGTAGCAATTGTCTGAACACAATGTAACCTTGGATACCAGGCAACTCAACTTTCTCAGTCTTGTTGCTAAGGCAACAAGACAGAGGTGGGTGTGGGGGAGCCCAGCGTAGCTATCTATATACTGTGCTGCCAGTAGGAGGAAATGGGGTGGAGGGACGGGAAGGACCTCGAGTGCTCCAAGGCCTCATCTGAAAAGGCTGCAGGGACAGTACCAGGCCCTCGTCACCATTGGCCAGGGAACCTCTAAGTGGTACCCTATTACACACACTTTATCTTACCCTTCTATGACAGGCATCCAACACAGGAAAGCTCTCTACACATGTGCTGCTTTGTCCCCAGAACTTGCTTCCCCAATTCGACTGGCTGGCCCATCGCTGACCACTGCTCTCCCCTCCCTCTTAAATCCCTGTTGTCTCTTGACAGGCAAGGTCTCTGGCTGTCCCCAAATATGCCTTTCTCAGCCTTACTTCCACTTTATATTTTATAGAACAAACAGTAAATGTGGTTTCATCTTTGTTGGGTTTATGTCTGTTTTCCGATGTGAATTTAGAAGAACACGAGTCCTATGAGGATGTTTCTCACCAAACAGAGCTGGAAATCCAATTTGGAAAATATTGCACACCATAACTCCCTTAGAGATTCACAGAGCATACTTTCATTTCAAGGCGCTGAGAGATCCTACCATTTTTGTTTAGCCCACCTCTTCTCGTATTTTACTAGCCAGATATCGTTAGTAATGTTGTGTTAACTCCTAACATTCTTCAGAGCAAGTACTCCATAGAGCGTGCTTTGAAACATGCAGATTTAAAGTAGAGCAGAGCATGACCAGTGAATTTTAAGCAAATCTTTTACTGACTCTGCTATTGGCATGAGAATGCAACTTCAAATGATTTGAAGCAGATTAGGAATGTTCTGTTACCTTCTGCTCGGATGAAAGCAGATGCCTTTTATGTGCAAATGGTTATGAACCCATCACTTCCATTCTTTTTCTTAAACCCCGCAGCTCCCAGTGTTCTTCATGCAATAATCATGCAGAAGGCCAGCTGAGATGAGGATGAAGCAATTCCGGGGATTCGCTCTAAGGCAGTGGTTCTCAACCTTCTGGCCCTTTAAATACAGTTCCTCATATTGTGACCCAACCATAAAATTATTTTCGTTGCTACTTCATAACTGTAATGTTGCTACTGTTATGAATCATAATGTAAATATCTGATATGCAGGATGGTCTTAGGCGACCCCTGTGAAAGGGCCGTTCGACCGCCAAAGGGGTTGCGACCCACAGGTTGAGAACCGCTGCTCTAAGGGAATCTGCATGAGAAAAGCAGAAACAGGTAATGGATAAAAATATGCAACTGAGGTTGAGTATAGCTGGGAGACAGTGGTTACATTTGTGATGATGGCCTCGAGACTGTTAAAAGAGGTGGCATGGTCTCCTCCATCACTGCTTTCCTCTCTCCAAAGCTCAGAGGAATACAGAGCCAAGGGAATGGAGAGACAGAGCTGTTCAAGACAAGGGTCACAAAGGATGTCTTTTCCCTTCTTGTCCCCAGAGTGAAGCCATTCATAATACAGTTTTGAACACTGTATGTGCCAAGTAGGGGGTAAAGAGTTTAATATACATTACCTCATGTAATACACACAAAAGCCTGAGAATATTATTTATCACCAGTTGCAAATGAGGAAGCTGAGATTCAGAAGCTGACCGAAGGCCATAAATGTGGTAAACTGGCAGAGTCCCTGTATCCCTTTACCAGGAAGCCACGCGGTCTCACGTCACCTTGGCAGCATGCAGCCAGCCCACCCACTTTGTCCCAGGGCGACATGGGAGTGTGGCAGGTGTGTCCAAGGCCTCGCGTCCACAGCCTGATGTGCTGATCTGTGTTAATCGATGACCACAGCTTGAGACTCGGGCACCTGAGTCTGGGAGGAGACAGGAGGTCAGTTAGCTGTCTCAAGAGACTTGTGAGCAGTTTTCAAAGTATCCGAATAGGTGCCAGGGGGGAGAAAAATGCATTTGTCTCTGCATTTGACTCATGTGTTCATATTGTAGTAGCCTAAAATAAATTACATTTTAAATCAGTGAGGGTCTTTAATTTTAATAAAAATATGAGAGGAAAGGCTTGTCTTTACTGGACTAACGATTGGATAATAATTAACTATTATTAAGAATAAAGTAGAAACCTTAATACCTTTAGAGTTTTTTTATGAACCTCAGTTATCCTGGGGATGAAATGATAGAAGTTCGGACCATCTCCAGCGCAGTCTTTAGTGAGGAAGATGCGTAGGTTGAGTTGGGGGTGGGCTTACAGGTGGAAAAGAAAATTGAGGGGGAAAAACCTTGGGAAAGCAGTAATTCCGGGGCTACTTATTTCTTTACCTTCAACTGCTGTGGTAGAGCCAGGGCTGAGTCATTCTAGAAAGGGCACACGCTCCATACCCATCTGTTTAATGTGCCTACCATCTCACTCTGCTTGGGAGTATTGTTAACTGTGCATATGTCTGACACCCCCACTTTTTCATACTTCCACATTCGACTTACATAAGCAATAGTATGGGAGGGTCTGAAATCAGACTGATCTGAGTTCCATTTGGCTTTGGATAAATTGCTTCAATTCTATGAGCCTCTTTTGTCATCTGTAAAATGGGAATAATAATAGTCCCTTTCTCAAAAAGCTGTGAAGTTTAAAGGGGATCATGCATATAAACTTCTTAGTGCAATGTCTGGTCCATGGGAAGTACTCAAAACATGATAGTTTCCCTTCTTAAGAAAAAAGCTTTTTATAAGGAATAAAAATGTAATAACTCTTTGTAAAGTGTTTTATGCATATTATATTTTTAACTAAATTTACTGGGGTCACATTAATAAACTTTCATAGGTTCCAAGTGTACAATCCTATGATACAGCATCTGTATATTGCACTGTGCATTTACTGCCCAAAGCCAAGTCTTCTTTTGCCACCATACATTGGACCCCCTTGGCCTTTTACTACTCCTCTACCTGCTTCCCTCTGGTAACCACCATACTGTTGTCTGTCTCTGTGAGTTTTTGTCTGATTCTTTTCCTTGTTTTACCCAGCGACCCCTTTTCTGAGTATCTACCTGAAAAATCTGAAAACATTTATTCATATCCCTATGTTCATTGCAGCATTTTTCACAGTGGCCAAGACATGAAAACAACTAGAGTGTCCCTCAATAGATGATTGGCTAAAGAAGATGTGGTACATATATACAGTGGAATACTACTCAGTCATAAGAAAGGATGAAATGCTGGGTGGATCTTAAGAATATAATGCTAAGAGAAGTATGACAGAAAAAGTCAAGAACCCTGTGATTGCACTCATATGTGGGATTTATGCATATTATCTTAATCCTAATATAGAGTCTTGCAATTAGGAGACAGGTTTCCAAGGACAAGTTGACATTCTTTTACAATTATGATGAAAGACTAATTGATAGATCTATCTGGAAGGTAATATGGTAACAGGGATCAAAGACATAACCTCTGACCCTGTAGGGCATGTATGCAAAGATGTATATGCAAAAAGGCCCATCGAAATCTTGTTAATTACACTGAATTTTAAAAATCAAACTAAATGTCTAACAAATGGTAAATAAATTTTGGTACATCCATACAACATGAATGAGGAACCTTTTAGTTGCCAATTATATATATCAGCTCATGCTAGCTTAAGTCAAAAAGAGGACCTTCTGGAGTAACCAGGAGGGGCAGGCCTACCTCAAATGCTACTGCTCTCTAAAGCTTTCTCTGACCCACCAGGCAAGATGAATCACTCCTCTCTGTGCTGCCAGAGTAGACTTTTTCTATTTTTCTATTCCTAATGCCTAAAACAGTGCCCAACCCCAGCTAGGAACTTAGCAAATGAATCAATCAATGATTTTATGTGAGGGGTCAGAAGGAAGCAGAGTGGTCTAGAGAAACGAGACTTGAAGGCAAAGAGTCTTGGTGTAGGACCTACTGCCACTGCTTACAAGCTATGTTACCTTAGGCCAGTGGTCGGCAAACTGTGGCTCGGCAAACCGCGACTCGCGAGCCACATGCGGCTCTTTGATAGAGTCTCCCAAAAGTAAATCAAGAAGAAACACCAAGTTTGAACAGAATTATTACAACTAAGGATATTGAAACAGTTACAGAAAAACCTCCAACAAATAAAATTCCTGGACTGGATGACTTCACGGCTGAATTTTATCAAACATTCAAAGAAGAATTAAGACCTATCCTTCTCAAACTTTTCTAAAAAATTAAGTAGAAAGAAAGACTTCCAAGCTCATTTTATAAGGTCAGCATTATCCAAATTCCAAAACCAGATAAAGACACTACAAAGAAAGAAAACTATAGACCAATATACTTGATGAACACAGATGCTAAAACCAACAACAAAATATTTGCAAACCGAATCCAGCAATACATTAAAAAGATCATATACCATGACCAAGTGTGATTTATTCCTGAAATGCAAGGTTGGCATAATATCTGCAAATCAATTAACACTACATAAACAAAATGAAAGATATGCCCATATCAATAGATAACATAAAAAGCTTTTGACAAAATCCAGCACCATGGTTTAGTGGAGGAGACAACAACACTTACTGCGGCAAGTTATTAAATAGAGAAAATGCAGGGCTCTGTCTGACACAGACTTGGAGGACAAAGAAACGGGATATAGACTGTGGCTGAAACCAGGAGACGGAAGCAAAGGGAGAAAAGTGATGAGCCTAGGCAAAGACAAAATCCTGGGAAACAGGAACATTCATTGGGGTGCTTAAGAGTAAGGGGATAAGCGGATGAGAAAGAGTAGGCGATACTGGAGATGAGGAAGGGGCAGGAGGGAAAGGGGGGCCAGGAGGAAGGAGAGAAAACAAGTTGCCTTATGCCATTGACCAAGGATTATAGGAGCGAGAGGCTACCAGGGGTGGGCAAACTTTTTGACTCAAGGGCCACAATGGGTTCTTAAACTGGACCGGAGGGCCGGAACAAAAGCATGGATGGAGTGTTTGTGTGAACTAATATAAATTCAAAGTAAACATCATTACAAAAAAGGGTTCGGT